GAAGGACGGAGGAGGAGGAGCACGGAGGACGGAGGTGGACCGAGGACGGAGGAGGACGGAGGAGGACGGAGGAGGACGGAGGTTCTAGGAGGAGGCCGCAGGACGACGGAGGACGGAGGAGCGACGGCCCAGCTTGCTTCCACGGGCTTCCGTGCGCGCGCGCCGCCGTCGCCCCATAGGGGCCTTCGCGCCGACGCGCGCGCTCGCGCACGCGAGCCCCGCTTTTGCCTCGGCACCTCGACGCCGGGCGACCGGGGGCCTCCTCGAGCCAGACGCCGCGACCTACCACGCCAGCACGGCGCCGTCCGCGCGCGGCTCCGTGCCGCCCACGAGCACCCCGGTGGCGGGGTCGCGGGAGATGATCTGGCCCCTTCGCGCTGCCGCCCCCCCGCTGCCTCCCTTCCCCAGCCCCAATTCCCCCCTCCCCCTGCTCCTCCTGCTTCTCCCGCTCCTCCTCCTCCTTCTCGTCCTCCTCCTCCTCCTCCTCCTCCTCCTCCTACTCCTCCTCCTCCTCCTCTTCCTCCTTTTCCTCCTCCTCCTCCTCCTCCTCCTCCTCCTGCTCCTCCTGCTCCTCCTGCTCTCCTCCTCCTCCTCCTCCACTTCCTCCTCCACTTCCTCCTCCACTTCCTCCTCCACTTCCTCCTCCCCCTCCTCCTCCTCCTCCTCCTCCTCCTCCTCCTTGTGCCTTCCTTCCCCACCCCCTATTCCCCGTGCCATGGCCCGAAGGGAGCCCCCAGATAACGAAATCGCAGACGGAAACGCACCAACACAAGAAACATGGCGCGCGGAGCGCCTTGGGGCCCAGCGCAGCTTCGAGAAATCCTCGCGGACCTCCGACGGATGCTTGCGCGGTCGTTCATTACCCGAGCCATGCCTCCATCCTCGATGTCCTCGATCCTCCTCCCAAGGCCTGGGGAGGTCGGGCGTTGTCCCGCCCGCCTGCCGAAGACCGTCCTGGACCAGCCGCGCACGCGCCGGACCTTGCCGAGGGGGAGAGGAGGAGGAGGAGGATGGGATAGGATAGGATAGGATAGGATAGGATAGGATAGGATAGGATAGGATGGGATGGGATGGGATAGGATAGGATAGGATAGGATAGGACAGCACTGAAGACGCGTGTCCGCAGTGGAAGGGCCTTGCCCGCTGAACAAAAACGAAAGACTGAAGGGTGCCTCCATCAGGAGAGTTTGTCAGCACTGCAGAAAGGGGCGACATTTCCCTGCAGGGCCCGCGACAGGAGCACGCCTTCAGTGGCTTTACAGGCTGCGAGCGGCATCTTTCGCGCGAGTGCGCTCGTGCAAACGAGCCATCCGCTCTTCGTAAGGTACACGGCTATCGGCAGCAAAACTGGGAACAGATGTGGCCACCTGGGCGGCTCGAGCGGACCGAAGCTCGACTCGGACACGGGCTGCAGGAACCGCTCGGTCGATCACCGCTCGGATACGAGGGTTTGGATCGAGGCCACGGCGAAAACGAGACAAAACTTCGAGCCCCGTGCGCGTAGGGGGCTCACACGGCCGGGCGAGCTCCATCGCCTTCTCTTGGCCCCAGGCGCCACGCCAGACACAAAGCAAAGAACCGCGTCGAATCTCTGGCTCCTCCTGTCGATCAGGCTCCAGAAGAGCTAAAAGACTACCGATCACAACGACACTCTGATGGCCAAGTCTGTCGGCACTCAGGGGCCCGAGAAACTTGGGCGTGCCGAGACATCCTGCCAGCGGCAGGCTGGCAGCTTCGGCCGCTACTTTAAAGCAGAATGCACACTGCCAGCCCAACTCCCCAAACCCCCACTCGTGCCAACCCTCACGTCGAACATGCTTCTTCGCGCGACGGATCGCGACGGGCCTCAGCCAACGCTCCTGCTCAGGATACTGGAACAATCGCAGAACAGCCGCAACAAGCGTCAGACAAGAATTGGCACGGCTCTTGGCGTCGTCCAGAGACGCTAACAATTCAGAATCGGGCATCGGGTGCATGCGCGCAGCAATCTTCGCATGGCGATCAGTAAACCAATTTCCCTGTGCCCAACGATGTTCATCAGGACTTAAACGGCTAATCTCCTCTGTGGATCGGTGTGCTTTGACGTGTCGCAGCGAGATGTGGCGATGGCCTTCCAGACTGCGACCGAACTAGAGGATCCCAGCTGCCCGGTTAGACGCGCGCATCTGCTGGAAGAGGGGCTGCTGGAACCTACGAATTGCGACCATGCAATCAACGCCTGCAAGCGCATCACGGTCCGCAAACTGACCGATCAGACACAGGGGTCCGCGGCAAATACCCAACCACTGGGCCACTAAGCGCCGCCGCTGGCTCCTCCGAGTTCTCCTGGAGGACAGCAATCGCCCAAAACGCGCCCGCTCAAGCTCGACAAGTCCCGGCCTGGAGCACGAACCATCGGAGGCAATCTCAAGGCGAGGACCTGAAACTGAATTACCTACTTCCTCGACCGAAACACCCAAACTCTCCCCTCGAGGCCCCTCAAGAACGACCTGGTCTGAACAAGAGGGGGCCGGAATGTCGGACTCGGTGTGCAGGAAAACTCCTCGCGTGAAAATTGGGTCCTGAGACCCAAGACCTCTCCGCACAAATTCAGCACTGACGCCTGACTGAAGACGAGCCTCCACGATGCGAGGGAGGAGACACCCAAACAAACGATGAGGGACCGTGCCCTTCTCCCCACAGTCGCAGAGGCCATTGCATAAATAGCCAGCTTCTTGGGCGCGCGCCCTAGTCCAGATACCTCTGCACGGGCAGCTCACGATGAGGAATTCTTCAAAACGCGAACAAGTCCGAGCACGACCACCGAGACTCGAACGAACGAAATCGAGAGAAGCTCGACGCCCACTGGGAGCCCCCAACTACTTGGCAAGAGTCAGCTCGCGCTGACGCTGAATGCCTGCAAGAAGCATCGTACTCAGTATGCTGGGGGGCACTTTGCCGACAGGTACCTCGGACCCACGGCGGTCAAGCCACACGGTGGCAGAAAGAACCCGCCACCCGGCACGCCTAGCAGCGAGCACAGCTCGCGAGAGAGGGCCACGGCTGGTCGCCCAGGACTCAACGTCAGTTGGTCGAGCCTCGCGCCACAGCCTCAACAGCCGCGCTGTCGTGGCCAGAGGGTGATCGCACGCTTCTGATTGCCATAGCATGCGGCACCATTGCACTGCAGGCGCCACTGCCGTTGCAGCAGCGCCATCGCCAAACAACACAATCTTCGAGGAGCAGCTGACGCCCCCATGCGCCGGCAGCCGCCCGCGATGATGAACGCGTCTCAGGTGCAACCACTCGTTGTTGTCGACCCCCGCTACCTCGCTGCCGTACGAGGCCTCAGGAATCACACCGGCACGAATGACGGTGCCGATGGACTTTGCCTTCTGCCCGGCCATGGCCATTCCAAATCGGCGCACCTTCCGCATTCGGCGTGCAAGATGACGGCCGCGAGCAGCTCGCTTCTTGAGAACCCCGCGGGAGTTGCGAGTGCTAGCCTCGCACGCGTCGATACCGACGTACACGGCACTGCGCCAAGCAACAGAAGCAAACATACCGAGCTCGTGAACGATCTGCTTGGCGATATCGATGGCGGTACCGACCACCGCCAACTGATCATTCACAACGGCTTCGAGATCGGCTGAAGTGCGCTGAAAATCCCTGAGGGCACTGACCATCATGGCCACCGTGGTGCTCTTCTCGCGGCTGGAGACCCGCATCGAATTGTCATCGATGTACGAGATGAACGAGATGCACGGCTGCCGCACGAGCAGGGCGTCGTAGTCGAGCACCGACCACACCTTCACCGCAACATCGCAGGGAGCATCCCCAGCTGGCAGGCCAAACTCGGCACATAGAGCGCGCTCGGCGACACGACGTAGCGGAAGAAGCCGGGGCGCTCGCCACATGCTGTAAGCGAGCTTGAGGAATCCCGGGGGGGTCTTGAAGTACTGGAACTTATCGCGCAGACGCTGGAGGCGAATGCGCTCGTATTCATTGCTGAGATCGGCAAGCGCCAGAGCACCATGGTAATCCTGTGCCCTGTCGGCCTCGGCCTCGGCCGCCTGGAGCCAGGCGCAGTCGACGGACGGCCGCCCGCGCGCCGCGCCCCAGTAGGGGCGGTCCACGAGCGCCTGAACCTCGCCGAGCAGCGGACGCCGCAACCGCTGCCAGACGCGGTAGATGCCCGCGTACAAGACCACCAGGCGATGACCTGGCCCAGACGTCTTGGGTATCATGGGGGTCACCATCCAAGCCAACTGTCTGGGCAACAACCCAATCGCCTCAGCCGCAGTAAACATATTGGCCAACACCGCCAAAGCCTCATCATCCAGAAGAGCCATATGGCGAGGATGAACATTGTCAGGAGCAGCAGCCGTAGTGGCAGGAAAAGTCGAGGCCACAGCTCGAATCTGCGCCGGCGTAGCCTTCGGCAGAACGCTCCTGTCAGGTATCCAGGCCTCCGCAGGCCCAGCTGATTGCCACAACTTCTGATGTACTGCAGCCTCATGGCGAACAAGATCATGGGGATGAGCGGACTTACTGCCGCTGCCAGTCGCCGCCACGGTGGGCTCAGGCACAGCCCGAAACTTCGTGGTGCGATGCAGCACGCGCGACCCGCCAGCGATGGCCATGGTGCACCACTCCTTCCAGCGAGCTCGATCGTCTTGCTCAGCGCCGCGCGCAGCAAGCTTAATATCGTCCTCAATGTCTGCCAAGAGATAGTTGCAGTCCTGCTCCAGAATCACACCGCCAACAAGTCGACGAGCCTGAACAATTGAGGCATCAAGTCGAGCAGACAATCCTAGTCCTGGATACTGCGCCGTGTCGATGGCCCACACCTCATCAGCTAACTGGCTCAACTCCACGGCCGACGCATTACCAACACGGTAGAGCTGTAGCACCTGCGTCACCCCATTTTGGAGCCAGCACCAGCCCTCAGCCACCGCCTGCACGCCGCTCTGGTCTTTCATCCTGTAGCAGATGTCGACCCAGCGCGGCCGGAGAGGCCGCGCAAACGCAACTGCATTGCACGCACCGTGGCCCACCGCAGGGTACCCCAAGGGTACCCCAAGCTGCCTGGACCGCCAGGGTTACCCCAAGCTGCCGAACGCAGTCCCCAGCCTACACCTGGAGGAGTGCTGCCATCTGTGCAGGCCTCCACAGCAGCCTCAGCCAGCCGCCGCGCCGAAGTCCAGGAAGGCGACTCGGGCAAGGGGCCGAACACTCGCTGCACCCCCCTCTTGGGCGCCACGGTGTAGACGAGCCGCTGCAAATGCGCGGCATTGCCCTTCAGAGTGAAACAAACGGGCCGGTGTGCACGGCGGGCCCAGCCAGCACCGATGGCGACATGAGCGTAGGCTTGCACAGCCGCCGTGCTCAGACCAAAACAAAAAATGGTCGAACTGCCCGAACCACCACGGAAAGTGAGCGCCGAGGGAGCCGCCAGTGCAACACCACATGTGGCTGGGAACACGGAGTCTTCGAGCTCCGAGGGCAGCATGTTCCAATCGCCCCCCATCACAACAGGCGCATCGATCCGCGACGCCGCAAGGCCGAGGGCCTCGAGCAGTGGACCATTGCGCCCGCCAGCTCCTTGACCGTCACGCAGATACACATCGAAGACGTGCAGAGCTGTGGGCCACTGCGGCACGTCAATCACAACATGCTGCACACGATGCGGCACCACCTCATGCACACCGACTGCAGGACCAGGAAGGCCGAGGCCGTCGCGTATCGCCACGGCGACACCCGCCGACGGGATGACCCCCGCGGTCGGCAGGCTGGGCAAAGCCATCAGGCTCCACCCGCGTGCGGCGGCCCAGGTGACCAGAGTCTCGACGTGCTCGGCAACGTGCCCGAACTCCTGCAGCAACACCACGGTCGACTCGGTGTTGGAAAGCCTCCGCTTCACCGAGCGCTTGCCGCTACTGGCATTGTAGGTCTCCATTAGGAACTCCGCCAGCACGGATGGCCGCACGCCGGTCGGCCGAGCGCGGCCGCGGCAGGGCAGCCCTCACACAGAGGGCCAGCAGCAGCTAGGACCGCCGCTGGCCCTTTGCAGCGTTTTCGGCGATGATGGCGTCGAAGGCTGCGTTGAAAGCCTCCTCTCCCTCGCCCTTCGCGGTGAAGAGGCGCTTCCGCTGCTCATCGGAGAAGTCGGGCTCGGAAGGAGCAGCACCTTCACCTCCTTCCTCGGCACGGCCATCCTCGACGTCCATGCGGTCACCATCACCAGCGGCAACACCAGCAGTGGCAGCAGCAGCAGCAGCAGCGGCTGCAACAACCTTACCGGCCAGCAGCGTGCGCAGCTTGGGCCAGTGCGCACTCTTGAGGAAGGCCTGGAGGCCGGGCTCGCCCTGCAGCTCCTCCTCCTCCTTGAAGTCGAGGAGGAGGAGGAGGAGGAGGAGGAGAAGGAGGAGGAGGAGGAGGAGGAAGAGGAGGAGGAGGAGGAGGAGGGGCCCCTGAGGGAGACAGGTCCGTCTTGAGCCGCCTCGGGGACATGTTGGGGGGCCTCCTCGTGGGGAGCGGAGCAGAGAACGGCCTGGACATCAGCTTTCGAAGGCCCGCGCGGCTGTCTTAAGACACTACCCAGAACTTTGAACCATCCCGACATATACACCACGTGAGTGTCTTGTTTTTAGCGCATGCAACCGCGTGCCCAACTCACACTGCACACGCGGCGTGTCATTACCGCGAGATTTGACACACCCTGCAACCCACCGCCAAAACAATACTCCGATCAACCACCACAACAGAAAACCAGTCCGCAGTGGTGATGTATATGCGTGGGTCCGGGAGCCTTGGATCGGCGCCTGGCCCGTCCCTGGCGCGCTCCGCGCGCCAGGGACGCCGATGCGAGAAGTCCACCCTGACTTTCGAAGCTGTACAGTCGAGGCGAAAGCTAAGGAAAATCTGCATAACAGCAGAGAAACACTGAGCCCCTCCTAAACGAAAAGGGTTCCTTCTGCAGATCCCCGACTGTATGTATGTGCCGTTTGTTCTTCTTCGAAAGGTGGCCTGCTTGGGCCGTCTCGGCGCACCTTCGGCCCATTCGGAGAACCTCTTGTGGGCCGCCTTGCCGCACTCTTTTGGGCCCCCTGGTGCCCGCGTCTTGTCCAGGGGTCTTTTTCTGACAAAAACCTCGGGCCCCCTTTCCCTCAAGACTCCTTGCCAGACCTCCGCTGCCATGACTTGTCCTGTACTCGAGCACTGCCGGAACCCTTGACGCCTTCTCAGGGGCTGGTTTCCATCGGATCATGTATTGACGTCGGGGGGCAAGAAAGTACCGATATCGCTACTCCCCAGACCTCTCCCGGGCGCGTTTTGACCAGGATGTCGACGCGATTTCAGCCGTGGAGACGAGGAACGGGTGGCGCTATTGGGCTCCCCGAGGCGATCCAACCCCTGGAAGCCCCGCCCGGGACATCCCCTCTCTTACACACCAACCCGTGATGCCCCCACCCCACTTCGCCATCGCTCGGACCGCCCATTCCCCGTGCATGTTGCCATTGCGTGCGTGCATATTTTCGCTAGGTGGTCCAAGATGATCCCTCACGGTCCTCGCCGAGGAAAAACGCACACGTCCGAGCGCTGCCAAGCCACGCTTACTGAGCAGATTGCACCCAGGCATCCAGCATCATGGCGTTTTCGCAGCGTGGCCCCGCAGAGGTCTCGAACCCCTGGGGCCGGCTTCTCGCCCTCAGCCATCGCTGGACGGCCCAGGGGCCTGGTAAGGGCCCCCCAGATGTCGAGAACGTCCGAAAACCTCCCATCATGATCTCTGTCCACGCGCAGGATGACCTGGGCTGCACAGAATTGGACGAACGAGTCCACCAGAAGTCCTGGCTCTGCCCGTGGCACACCCGACGTGGGTACGGAACCAATGAGCGCGACTCCTAGCATTCTTTCGGGCATGCCCCCTACAGCAGGATTTTGGAATACGTATCAAAGATATGCAAAAAATGCTCAGCCAAAACTCACAAGAACATGACGAATCGTTCCCACACTCTTTTGTGTTCCTGTCCTCGATAGGGACATGCCCGACTGAATACTAGCAGCAGACGCTGTCCGAGAACGCCAGCGGCCGCAAGTTGGGCAGGTGACCTTGGGCAATAAAAAGTCAAAGAGAAAGTCAAAAGAGCACGACAAATCGTTCCAAGACTGATTTTCCTATTCTCGATTACTCCTCCTGCAGAGAGACATGCCCGACTGAATCCGAGCAGCAGACGCCGTCCGAGAACGACAGCGGCCGCAGTTGGGCGGGTGACCTTGGGCCTTGCCCGGGTACCGCCCGCGGCGGCACCAACCGCGAGTGCCGTGAAACATGGGCAGGGCACTGCTGCCGGACATCGCCCCAACTGATGGGCCGATCTCGCACCACCACTACCATATAGGCAGGGCCAGGGAGAAGGATGGGAAGGTCCTCCTCCTCCTCTTCCCTCCTCCTCTTCCCTCCTCCTCCCTCCTCCTCCTCCTCTCCCTCCTCCTCCTCCTCCTCCTCCTCCTCCTCCTCCTCCTCCTCCTCCTCCTCCTCCTCCTCCTCTCCTATTCTACCCATGGTGGTGGTGGTGGGAAATCGGCCCATCACCCATTACAGTCACGTTTGTTCAGCGCGCCGCGGCGGCGGCTCCAGCGGCACGCCGCGCTCTGCGAGCACTGCGGGCGGGCAGCATGCCGCTTCCCTCCGCGGGGCGGGAGGCTGGGAGAGGCTCGGGCCGCCGACGCTCGGAGGCCAGCGCGTGGTCGGCGTGTCGCGCCGCAGCGTGCAGTGGGCCAGGAGTGGTGGCGCGGCACGGGGAACCAAAGCCCCTGACCGTAGTTCCCAGACCTTCCGACGTCGCGAGTTGTGCTCACAACTTGGACCCAGGGTCTCGACCCGCTCCCTGACCTGGGACCCGCTTCTCATCCCGAGTCGTGCTTTGACGGTCCCGGGGCCGGCGAGAGCCCCGAAAGACAAACACAAACACACCCACAAACAAACAACAACAAAAAAGTCGCGATGTTTGGTTCACGACGCGAGGGGGCCTGGGCTCCGTACCCGAATTCGCTCATCCCGAGGCTCGTGGCAGACCGATAACGATGACGATGATGACGACGACGACGACGAAGACGACGACGAAGATGACGACGACGAAGAAGACGACGACGACGACGGCGAGGACGTGGACAAGGACGAGGACGTGGACGAGGACGTGGACGACGACGGGACCCTGTGGCCCATGGCCGCGAGGCCCGCCTCCGTCTCCTGCGGGACGCCCTCCTGGCCGGGGGGGGGGGCGGAGGCGCGCCATGCCGTCGCGGCTGGGAGCACTTCGTGCAGCCTCAGGGCCCCAGGGAGGAGGACCATCATCCTCGTCATCGTCGTCGCCGTCATGATGATGATGATGATGATCATCATCATCATCATCATCATCATCATCATCATCATCATCATCATTATCATCATCATCATCAATATCGTCATCATCATCGTCATCATCAGCATCACCGCCATAATCATCACAGGCATCAGTATCAGCATCAGAATCATCATCATAATCGTCAGCATCATCAGCACAGTCATCATTATCATCACCAGTATCATCATAATCAGCATCGTCATCATCATGATCACCATCATCATAATCATCAGCATCATCGTCAACATCATCAGCATCATCATCAACAGCATATCCATCATCACCATCAGCAACGTCAACATCAGAATCATCATCACCATCACCATCATCACCATCACCATCGGCATCATCATTACCAGCATCATCACCCTCACTGTCATCACCTCCGTCACCACCACCATCACCATCACCACCACCACCACCACCACCACCATCATCATCATCATCATCATCATCATCAGAATCATCATCATCATCATCATCATCAGCATCACCTTCACCATCACCATCAACATAATCATCATCATCATCAGCATCATCATCATCATCATCATCATCCTCACCATCCTCATCCACACCGTCATCATCATCATCATCAGCATCAGAAGCAGCATCAGCTTTAGCATAATCATATCGTCATCGTTGTCGTCCTCCGCCTTCATCTAGTCAGCATCATCATCGTCGTCCTCAGCATCGTCATCCTCATCATCGTCATCAACATCACCATGATCAGCCTTATAATCATCACCCTCGCCATTTCGACATCATCATTCCCGTCATCATCATCAGAATTATCATCATCACCACCATCACCATGATCATCGTCATCAGCATCGGCATCGTCCTCGTCGAGCTCCTCCCCCTCCTACTCAGCACCAGTATCGCCATCGTCAGCATGGTCAGCATCACCAGCAACACCATCATCATCATCATCATCATCATCATCATCATCAGCATCATCATCATCATCATCATCATCATCATCATCATCATCTGCATCATCATCATCAGCATGATCGTCCCCATCATCAGCCTGATCACCATCATCATCATCATCAGCATAATCGTCAGCACCATCGTCAGCAGCATCATCATCATAATCATGATCAACATCGGCATCATCAGCATCAGCATTGTCATCATCATCATCATCGTCATCATCGTCATCACCATCAGTATCGTCATCATCAGTAGCAACAGTATCAGCAGTATCATCATCATCATCAGCGTCACCGTGTGTGTCGTCATCTTGAACTATCATCGTCAACATCATCAGCATCATCAGCATCATCAGTATCATCAGCATCCTCATCATCACAACCAGAATCATAAGCATCAGCATCGTCATACCAATCATCATCGTCATCGCCATCGCAATCACTATCGTCGCCACCATCATCAACAACATACTCATCACCATCACCATCATCAGCATCATCGTCATCATCATCATCATGGTCGTCGTCGGCATTGCCACCATCAACAGCATAACCACCATCACCATCAGCATCTGCACCCCCAGCATGATCATTATCACGAGCACCACCATTACCATCAGAACCGCCATCATCATGGTCAGAGGAATCATCATGTTCATTAGCAGCATCATCATAAGGATCATTATCACCACCATCGTCATTGTAAACAGCTTCCTCATCAGCAACACCAGCATCGACATCACCCTCATGATCGTCATCATCGGTATAGTCGTCATCCTCAACATCAGAATCATCATCACCATCACCATCATCGTCGCCATCCACAACACAATAACCATGCTTATGATCGCCATCATCAGCATCATCATCAGCATCATCACCACCAGCATCATCCTCAGCATCATCACCATCAGCATCATCATAACTAGCAGCATCCTCATCATCATCATCATCAGCAGCAGCATCACCATCACCATCATCATCATCATCATCATCATCATCATCATCACCCTCATCGTAATCATCATCGTCATCGTCAGCATCAGCATCATCAGCATCAGTATCATTCCCATCATCCTCATCCTCATTATCAGCAGCATCATCGTCGTCATTATCATCACCATCATCACCATTACCATCATCATCGTCATCGTAGTCTGCATCATCCTCATCATCCTCAAAATCAGAATCATGATCAACAGCAGCAGAGCGGTATCGTCATCGTCATCATCATCATCCTAATCATCATCACCACCGCCATCATGACCATCGTCTTCTTCGCCGTTGTCGTCGTCAGCAGCAGATGCATCATCATCACCATCATCAGCAGTATCATCATCATCCTCATCATCAGAATACCAATCACCACCATCACTATCAACAGTATCATCAGCAACGTCATCATCGTCAGCATCATCCTCATCATCATCATCCGCATCCTCATCCTCATCCTCCTCATTCTCAGACTCATCATCATCCTCGTCCTCGTCATCATCACCCTAACCATCAGCATCATCAGCGGCATCATCATCACCAGAATCATCAACATCGCAACCATCATAGAGGAACACGGGGGCGAGAGGGTGAAGATGAAGGAAGGAGCACGAGCAGGGAGGAAGAGAAGGACGACGACGACGAGAAGCAGACAGATAGGAGGAACAGGAGCATGAGGAGGTGATTCCAGAATTGCCGCTGGCTGAACAGGTCCTGGGCGGCCGAGGCCAGAGGAGGAGGGGCCTCCTCCTCCTCCTCCTCCTCCTCCTCTTCCCTCCCCTCCCCCTTTCTCTTAAGAAGCCCCCCCTGGACGACGACCGACGACGACCACCACCGCCACCACCACCACCACCCCCACCACCGCCACCACCACGACGACCACGACAAGCGCGGCCCTCCCCAGACACCCGACGTCATGCTTTTGTTTCGCAGCGTGGCCCTCTCAAGGGCTGGATTTGCATCTTGAGCTGTTCTCGGATGGCCCCGCGGCCTTGTCAGGGCCTGCACGCGGCAGCAGATGGGTAAGAAGCTTCCGCAGTGATGTTTAACACGACGCGAAGGGGCCAGGTTTCGGGCCATCCCTCGGGCCTCTCTGGCGGCCGCTCGGGACGACTCGGGCACCCCCAGAAATCCCTCGACGAGGCGCAGCTGCTAGAAAGAACCCAATGGCCCGAAAGCTTCCAGAAACATAGAGAAGCACTGGCAATCCTAAAGAAGACGGGGTCGGACGAAAGGGGGATAGCAAAGGGGGGGTAACGAACCAGCTCACGCAGCTAGTATTCCTGGCGCCTCCCGGCGCCAGAGGCGCCACTGCATCGAGGAAAGCTCATCACGGCGGAGCCGAAACCAGCTGCATGCAGTAGGCTCCGTACAGTAGGGACCCGACCACAAGAAACCTTCCACAAGAAACCCAATCCTGAGACACCAGGACGTCCATCGATGTGTGCTGCGGGAACGTCACACTTCCCATAGCAAAACCATCGGAACCCAAGAAACCTAGGGCACCCTGGAGGCGAGCAGGGTGTCTCTTGCCATGGGTCTCCACTGTACCCCCCTCCCCCTCGCCCTGGCCGCCCCCCTCTCTGGCACGAAGCAAGCGGGTTTCCGAGGGACAAGGAGCGGGGACCCCCTGGGGCCCTCCCCGGGACCCTGGCCCCTCCACCAGTGAGTCCCTTCTCGACTGGCCCCCGGGGGCCCGCGGAAGGCCCCCAAAAAGCAAACACGAAAAAAAACACCTCAGCTTAGGCCGGGCATGTCCTCCTGCAGGCAGATGTTGTGCGAAAGACAGGAAATGCCCCCCAACAAAACGTTACAGAATACTCAACGTGTATTTTTTCATCGTCCCCAGACTATTGTTTTTGACTGCTCTTGACTTTCCCTCCTGTAAAGGGACAGGTCCGACTTGAATCTCAAGGCCCCTTTCCCTCGAGACCCCTTTGCTTCACGGCGACTCCTCTCTCGTCCTGTCCTTTTCTGGTGATGCCTCGGGCCTCCTGAGGCCGATCGGGACGATCCGTGCACACCGGCAGAAAGCACTCGCCAGGGCGCAGCTGCTGGAGAGCACCCCGAGGCTGGAGAATCGCCGAGAACCATCGAGAGCGCCCGAAAACCTCGAGCAAATACCTCCGACGTGGTGCTTTTGTTCGCAACGTGGCTCCCTAACCACCCCCTCCTTTTCCTGGCACGCCCCATGGTACGGAAGCAATGGACACGATGCCCAACAGCAAATGTTGCCCCAAAGCGACAGCGGCCGCTGTTCGGCACGCGGTTTTTTGTCTAGAACGGACACCGCCCGCGGCGACACCGGCAGCGATCCCTGCGTAAACGGACAGGCACTGCTGTGGGTCTTCGTCCCCATTCTTGCCGTACCCTTGTCAAAAATCCCGAAGCCGTGACGTTTTCACGTCGACCCCCCGAGGTATCTACTCACTCCCCGGGACCAGCGTGTCATTTCGATCAGGTTTTGTTAACAGCTTCTGGGGCCCGGCGAAGGCCCCAAAAGGCAGGAAATATCTAAAGACTCCCACCGTGATTCGGTTGCCACCGTTATTCCTCCTCCTCCTCCAAGGGGGTCACCACCAAACAGGATATGCGCCCCCGCCCCCTCGAGAAAGCGCCACCGTCCTCAAGGAAGAGGGCCCCCTTCGGAACCCCCGAGGGCCTCCCGCAGCGGCCCCAGGCGTCCAACAAATCGTGGTGGTATGAGCATCTGCCCCTAGCCTGGCTCCCCACGAAAACCCAGTGTTTCTGAGTCGGCGGCGAGGCAGAGGTCGTCTGCGCTAGCAGAACGGCCGAAACGGGGGTGCCGTTGGAGCGACTTGCGCCACCATGTTAGAGGGAGAGCAGGAGGAGGACGCGGCCGAAAGAGGGGGCGGAAGGAGCGAGCAGCTTCGGGGGACGGGTCACACCCCGAGCGCGTGGCGCGGCCAGCCCCGCAGGCGGGCCCGCGGCGGCTGCTGCATCAAGAGGCCGGCGGCGGCGAGGCCCAGTGAGAGGGAGTCCCAAAAGAAAACACATGACTGCCAAGGTTGGACAGGAATTGACCACTCTCTGTCGCTAGATTGCGAATCAGGAGCCACGTCTACATCGCAGAGAGGTGGAGGGGGGCTGGGAAGGGGCACGCCACTCTTTGACAAAAGCCTTGCTACGATTTGTGGCCGCCGCGATCGCCGCGGCGACCTCCAAAACCGACCCAGAGGTTTGGGTCGGGGACGGCTGCCACGCAACGAGACCTCCTCGAGGTTCGATCCTGGGAACTTGAAGGCGGACTGGGGTCTGAACTGGATTGGCCCCCAGACAATCGGTCAAGGAGGAGGGATGAGGCCAAATCCACTCGAAATCGATCCCTGGACACTCCTGGGGTCCATCTAGTGCAGTTGCTTACCCCGGAGACGTTTTCGGAGGCCGAAACAGAGACAACAAAACAAACAACAACAAACAAATCCCGAACCCAAAACCTCGAACCTGCCCGCCCTTCCTGCTCGCCGGATTCGGTGTCAGGCCACCTCAGACCACCAGCCGGCTCCAACCTTGAAGGCTTGGAAATATACACCAACAGCAAAAAAGGGGGGTGCGTCCACGGGGGCAGGATGATCATAGTTTCTGGTGGCGGTGGTGGTGGTCATATCTCGGCCACCTAGGAAGCCCGAGCGTTACCACCATCACCGCGGTCGGGATCATCTTCCCTCGGTGGAGGGACACCGCCGATATTGGTGTTGGTGCCAACCTCCAGGCCTCCGACAACCTGGAACCTCCATCCTCAGAAAAACTGGTGGCCGCCCAGCCGTGACCCCCCTCAGCACTGCCCGACTCTCACCGGGCGCGTCCACGAGGGGGGCGTCCAGGAGGCGGGGCGGGGGGGGGGCGCAAATCATGGCCAGCGGCACGTGCGCGGCCCAGGGGGGGGCGGGGACGACTCATTGAAATAAGAAGAGGCGCCATGAAATCTGGGGAGATATCATGGCCCCCGCCAGGATGTCCCCCCCCCTAGTCATCACCCCCCTCTTGGCCGCCCCCGATCTCGTCCGACCCACAAACAGCCCTGACCCTCCTCCCCGAAATCCGACGTTGCAAAAACAATGCAGCATCGCAAAAAATCACGACCGGAAGCCCGGACCCCATCGGACCCCCGGACCCCATCTTTCGGCGTCATCGTTCGAGCCGGATCGATCCCTGAAGGCCCCGGCCCGACATGGAGCGAGAACGCCGGCTCGAAACAATTGAGTCGCCAGGATCTCAAGGCTTAGCACTGCCCGAGCCCCAGAGATCCGATGTCAGGATTTTTCCCATGGGCGGCCCCCGGAAGTCTCGACCGGCTCCCCAGGACGGGCGTTTCACCCCGAGCCGTTATTGGACGGTCCCGGGGCCCGGCAAAGGCCGAAAATCGAGAATCTCTGAGCTCTCGCCCGACCCATCAAAAAAACACACAACAACAAAAAAAACAGCGACAGGGGCGGGGCGGCTGCCGCAAGCGGGCCGCCTCCAGCAGCAGCTCCGCGCCCAGCACGCTCTCAGGCCCCAGCGCCGAGTCCACCCCCTCGAGGCAGAACCGCGGCATGTCCAGGGCGGCCTCGTGGGGAGGAGGAGGAGGAGGAGGAGGAGGAGGAGGAGGAGGAGGAGGAGGAAGAGAAGGAGGAGGAGGAGGAGGAGGAGGAGGAGGAGGGAGGAGGAACGAGGACGAGGAGGAGGAGGAGAAGTGTAAACCCAAGAGTCATCAACGATGTTGGAATGAACCCTCCCTCCAAGCTCCCTTATCATAGGCCCCTACAACGGTTCATGTCCACTGAGGGAACTGCCTCGTTGAAAAACAACTGTTTGAAGAGCCTGAAGCATGCCGAAACAGCCTTCTCGGGACTCCAACGCGACAGATCAGCGATCCTGAATCGTGTCAGAACGCGAGTCCTGGGATTTCAACACCGCGAATCGACGCAGCTGTTGCGTCCTCATAATCCTGAATCCTGCAAAACACAATTTATGGTATGCTTATCATGGGAATCCGCAGAACTCTTGCGAACGTTTACAACGAATGTGCGCGGCGCTAAGGCGAGAGCCACATTTTGAAAAGGAATCGCCCTCAATCAGCGAAACTCTTGCAAATGTTTCAAACCGAATGCGCGCGGTGCTTTAGCGAGAACCACATTTTGAAAACGACCCAACTGCTTTATAGTTTGAAGACGAATGTGCGCGGCGCTACAAGCGAAAACCACATTTGGAAAACCACCCGCCCTCCATCCGTGAAGCTCTTGCCATGTTCTGACGAATGCGCGTGGCGCTAAGGCGAGAGCCACATGTTGAAAACGACCCGCCCTTAGCTTGTAAAACTCGAACAATTGGTTCAAACGAATGTGCGCGGCGCTAAAGCGAGAACCGCATTTTGAAAAAGAACCGCCCTCAATCCGTGAAACTCTTGCCAATGTTTAAAACGAATGCGCGTGGCGCTGAGGCGAGAGCCACATTTTGAAAACGACCCGCCCTCCATCTGTGAAGCTGCTGCCATTCTTGAAGCTTCAGGGTCAGAAATGGTGAGAAACTCTCAGGCGAAACGCCCGGCGAGCTGGCCTCGGGGTGCGGCAGGGAGAAGCCATTTTGAAGGAAAAGGAATGGACGAGGAGGAGAAGGGAGGAGGCGGAGGAGGAGGAGGGAGGAGGAACGAGGACGAGGACGAGGAGGAGGACGAGGAGGAGGAGGAGGAGGAGGAGGAGGATGAGGAGGAGGAGTGGAAGCAGCAGGAGCAGGAGACCGCGGGAGGCGCGGGGTGGGCAGCGGAGGCGCGCGGGGGGTCCCGAAACCCTCGCGCCGTACAAAAATATAAAGGCGGGAGCCTCTTGGGGGGGGGGCCGCTCTCGGCCTCCTCGAGGGGGGCCCCCGCCGGGCCCCGAGGCTGGCAGGAAACGGCTGGGGGGTGAGGAGCCTGTTCAGAGACCTCCGCTGCCATGGCTTTCTCAACACGGGGTCCCCAGGGGGACCGGCTGTGCCTCCCGAGTCGTCTTCGGACGGTCCTGGGGCCCGGCGAGGCCTGGGAAACCTCCCGTCTTGATTTTGTCAAGACGCTGCTGGGTGAGCCTCTGAGGACATCCGTGGCCCGATCATGAGCGTGGCTTCGACCAGATTTCGTCCAGAAGTCGGCCACCCCTCTCCCAGACTTCATCCAGATGTCCACCACGTCCGACGACATCGGGACAGGATCCCCCAAAACCGCAAGGCATGTTGACACCCTCTGAGGCTGCCATGAAGGACCACACTAACCTTGGATCTCTGGGAGGGAAACCCCAAAGATCCGATGTCCTGGTTTTTGCAATACGCGATACCCGGAAGCCTCGACCCATTCACCAGGACCAGCTGGGCCGTTTTCCAAAGGTCCCAGGGCCCTGCGAGGGCCCCTGGAGGCCGAAAACTGCGAAACACCTGCGTCTTCATTTTTTCCATGCGGCATGCGTTGGATCTCTGGCACCTTTTTCTCTGGCGCCCGTCAGCGGCCGGTATTCGCCCGCCGCGCTGCGCCCTGGGCCCCGCCGCTCCTCTCCCGGCGCAGGGCGCCCGGCGGTGGCGGCGCCGGCGGCGGCGGCTGCGCCCCAGGCCGCCGCCGCTCCTGGAGGCAGGGGCCAGGGGCACACAAGTAAAAGAGGCACAGATCGAAGGATTCCCCCTATTTTCGCATAGTTCCTGGGTTGTCGTCTTCCCCCCCCCTCTGTCCATAGTTTTAGTGTCTCCTCTTGTCCTGGGGATCGACGATGACTTGTGTCTGTGTGTTTTTCCTTTCCTGACTAGAGGCCTCCCGATTGGGTTCGAGCAGACGGGGTCGGAGAATCGCGCCGCATCGCCAACGCATCGCCGAGGCATCGCCGATGCAGCGCCGATGCATCGGCGGCGTCGGCGGTGCACCGGCGGCGTCGGGGCAGGGGAGAGAAAGTTGGGCTCCACATGGAGCCGCATCGTCGATGCATCGGCGATGCGGAGCGATACTCCGACCCCATCCACCCCGACCCCATTCGGGCGTTGGCAGAACTGGGTTTAGTGGGACCTGGTTTAAAGATGTGTACCGGGGGGCGCCCCCCCCCGTCCCGTCCCACCAACCGGAACTGCCGTAACCCGAAAAGCATCAGCTACGGCAGACCTGGTTTAGCGGCTCCAATCCATATGTTGGGCTTCGGGGACCAATCACGAACCGGCTCCCCTTAACCGAGGTCCTGGCTATACCCGGCCCATCTGGGAGGCCCAGAGCTCCTGCTCCGCGCCGTAGGCAATGGCCATGCGCCGGAGCTGCTGCTCGCGGTCGTTGTGGCAGCCCAGGTAGGACTTGAAGCTCGCGCGCGGGGGCGGCCCGAGGCGCGCCCCGTTCCTCGAGAAAGGAAAACGGCATGAGCGTGCGGCAGGTTCGTGCCGCGCCGACTTCGGCGTTGGTCTCCGACGCCGCGGGGATCGCTCAACCTTGGACGATCGGCCGTTTCCAGAACGTCAGAGCGTTCAATATCGACGGGTTCTGGGTCACCAGCGGCGTTCAACGTGGAACGCCGGCGGCGGAGTCGCCGCCGGCCGACGCGACGCAAACCTACAGTACACGGAGCTCCGCGAGGATTTCCTGGATCGGCGCTGGGCCCAACTGGAGGCGCCTCGGGCGCCAGGGGGGGCCAACACCGATCCAAGAGATCCGCGCAGGGCTGCGAAAGATGAGGTCTGGGCCTTGCTTCTTCTTCTTCTTGCTCGTCTTATTAGTATTCTTCTTCGAGCTCCGATACAGCAGGTCAAAGCCGCCCACCTGAGTCTCGGTGCCCACGAGGTACTTCTCGAAATCCAGGATGGTCAGCGTGTCGTCCAGCAGCGCGAACTTCATGTCGTAGTCTGTGGGCGTGTTTGCGGAGAGCGACGGCGACGCATTGACCTCGATCAGTAGCGGCCTCAGGTCGCTGTCGATCATAACATCGTACCCGTAGAGCTCGAAGCAGTGCTTATCCTGGATCATGGCTTTCTGCACGGACAGCAGCGAGTAGAGCACGATGTCCTGGATCCCGTAGAAGAGCTCATTGACCTTCTCAGGATCCTCTAGGGACATCAGGTGCAGCTTCAGATTGTGCAGGTCCCACTTGCCGCCGCGCTTCTCGTCGTAATGCTCGTTGTGTTTCTGCACAGCAACGTTGGTCAGGTGGACCTGTGCGTCTGACAAGTCCGCCATGGAGAAGCGGGCGTGCGAGAAGCGGGCGAAGCCGCTGCGGTACATCCATACGCTTAGGGGGGCGTAGCTGGTGACGAGGACGTAGAGGCGGAGGTCGAACTTCTTCCCCCCGATCAGCAGCGGGTTGGAGATGTAGCGCTGCACGACGTAGGGCTCGGCCTGGCCCTTCTCGTCCTCGTCCTTGTCGCCGCCGCCCCTCTTGCCCGCATCCTCATCCCTGCGCATCCACTCGGGCTTCTGTCGCCACCCGGAGATCTGGCTCAGCTTGTCGAACAAGAAGATGCCCTTGCCCTGCGACTTGCCCACGGGCTTCATGATCCAGATCGCCCCCGCGCTCTGCTGTTTCTTGAACTCCTCGACGAACATGGAGTACTCCTGGGGCAGCACGAAGGTGGTCGGGGAGCACGCGTAGTAGGACGCGGCCTCCTCCAGGTTGCCGTCGCGGCGGGCCTGGCGCTCAGCTTTCTTGATGTTCTTGACCAGGAGGTCCTTGCGGGTGAGTTCGTAGTGGTTGCGGAAGTGGTTGACCCGCTGATGTGGCTGGAGGTGGATGTGGTCGAACACCTCATGGATCCACTCCTTGTCGCACCAGAACACGTCCCAATCCTGCTCGGAATCACTTTCCTTGAAGCCGCGAGCCTTCAGCACGTCGTAGACCGTGTTGTGGAAGGAGCACCTGAACTTCACGTTCTTCCACGGCGGAAACTCTCTCCTCGAGCCGATGTGCTTGCGCAGCAAGTCGGACATCCAGGAGCGCCCCGCAATCCAAACCTTCAACGTGGTGCTTTTCACTACGTTGACCCTCGGAGGTTAAGACCACATGTCCAATCGACCGGCTCCTCATCCCGAGTCGTTTGTTGACCGTCCCGGGGCCCTGTGAGGTCCCCTGGAGGCCGAAAACTGCCGACAACCTCCCGTCGTGATTGGTTCACGACACGAGAGGGTCTGGGTCCTCCTCCTCCTCCTTCTCCTCCTCCTCCTCCTCCTCCTCCTCCTCCTCCTCCTGCGCCCCCCGTTGCGACTTCTCAGCGTGACATCTCCAACAAACCGTCGTGGGTCTGGGCCTTACTCCTCCTCCCCCACCTTCTCCTCCTCCTCCTCCTCCTCCACCTCCTTCTCCTCCTCCTCCTCCTCCTCCTCCTCCTCCTCCCCTTCCTCCGCCTCCGATCTCCTCCGCTCTGATCCTCCTCCTCCCCCTCCCCCCAAAAACCGTCCTTTGCAACATTTCACCACGCGCCGAGGTCTGGGAAATCCCGCAAGGCCTTCGCGCTGGCGGCTACGACCGCGCGGCCTCCGCGGCGCGCCCTGCGCTGGGACCGCCACGCGGCCGCGGCCTCCGCGGCATCGCCCGGCGCGGGCTGGCGGGGGGGGGGGGGGGCACGGCGGCCCGGGGCGCGTTGGGGGATGGGCTCTCTCTGCGGAGCCAATTTGGGCTACGGATGGCAGGAGGGAGGAGGGAGGAGGGAGGAGGCGGAGGAGGAGAAGCAGGAGGTAGGAGGGAGGAGGGAGGAAGAGGAGGAGCAGGAAGAGGAGCAGGAGGAGGAGGAGGGGGAGGACCAGTGCAAACCCAAGGCTCATCAACGATGTTAGAATCAGCCCTCCCTCCAGGTTCCGTGTTCATAATTCGGCCCCTACTCGAATTCTCTTACACTGGAGAGAGTGCCCCGCTGGGCGGCAACAGTTTGAAAATCCTGGATCGAGCCAAACACCATTTTCGGGACTGCAAACGCCACGAATCAACCTGACTGTTACGTTTTGACGATCCTGCATGTGCCAGATCAAAATTCCTGGGACTGCGGCGCCGCGACTCAATATAAATGTTGCGCCCAGTGAGTCCCGAATAATTCGAAGGTCGCGCTACGGCACGTTAGCCATGACAAAACCACCAATGTCTTGCAGCTGTTAATAACGAATGCGCGCGACGCTGCGACCAGAGCCACATGTTGAAAAAGAACCGCCCTCAATCCGTGAAACTCTTGCAAGTGATGGTAACGCAAGCGCGCGGCACAAAGGCGAGAGCTACTGATAACGGCCCGCCCTCAAGACGTAAAGTTGCACTCCTTCGAAACGAATGTGCGCGGCGCAAGAGTGAAAGCCACATGTTGAAAACCCCCCGCCTTCAATCCGCGAAGCTCGTAGACCTTGTTGATGCGAACGTGCGCGGCGCTACGGCCAAAGCCACATGTTTGAAATCAACCGCCCTCCAACTGTGAAACAGTGCCCAAACCCTAAAGTTTCATGATCATAGACGGCATAGGCGTCTCTGGCGAAACGCCTGGTCCACCTATGCTATGCTACGCTTTGCTATGGTGTGCTCTGCTATGATAAAGCTCAGTGAAGCTAGGATGAAGGTAGGGGTAAGCTAAGACGAACCTGAGCGAAGAATGAAGCTGAGCTAAGCTCAGATGAAATAAGCTAAGCTAAGATGAGATAAGAAACGCTAAATTAAGGGGACGTCACTGGGGGAACCACGGGGTGGATGCCTGGGGAACCGCCCGGGGCGATTTACACTGCCCGGCCCTTTAAGCATACACAGTAAGAACCCTTCTAGGCAGAGCCTGGGTAGGGAACAAAACCAAAAATAGCAACGGGAGGAGGAGGAGGAGGAGGGAGGAGGAGCGCGGAGGAGGGAGGAGGAGGGAGGAGGGAGGAGTCACGGTTTGACCAGAAGTAAAAGGCCCAGGATAGGATGCCGTACGTCTCATTACGCAGAATACGGAATGAAACATCTGAACAACCTAACACAAGTGAAACACGGGCACGGGGGGAGCTTCTGTGAACCGCAAACGGCCACGGAAACAAACAGGAAAGGCAGGCAACATGCACAAGGATACACTTCGCGCCTGGTGCTCGAAGGAGTCATTTGTGCCTCGTCGGCCCACGCGCGGTAGTCGTGCACGATTCACCGAAGACGAAAGCCAATGACTCGCGAGAGAACGCGTTACGAACCACGTCCGTCATAAAACCTGAAAGCTGCAGTCAATTAGTGGAACGCGGCCTCAGCCACTTGCGCGCTCGACTTTCTCTTTCCTGCTGCTCCAAGAACATAGCTCTTGGAAACAACCCTCTCACATGCAAGCATCACTACGTCGCGTTCGCCAACATAGTTCGCAAAATGTGAGCGCATCCTCGCTTGCGCCACCAGGTCGTTGCCAGCGGTATGGGGCGAACGATGACAAAATCATGATGGCCGCCCTTGCCCTCGATGGGGAGATCACTGTGCTGTGAGCTTGGTACGGCCTTTTCTGTGCTTCTACTCGCTCAACTGAATCGCGTTGCGGTCGTAGCTGGGTTTGCCGCCCATGATGCTCAGGATGAGATCTCGGCCGACACTCCCCTTCGTCATGGGGTCAGCCCTCATGTCTCCGCTGCCGCATCACAATATGTCGTCCATCTGGTTTGCGCGGAGATGGTCCGACAAACACCATGCATGACTGGCCATGCTCTTCCCTGATAGAAGTCGAAGGGTCCATGGCTAGGGCCGAGAAGACGGAGGTGCAGTTGACTACCAACTCGGCCATCAATGCATAGCCCCCTTCCTCCCTCAGCCTCCTGATCCCCTCGGCTGAGGCAAGCCTGCGCGCCGTCTCGCGGAGCCGCCGCAGGCTGCTGGCAGCTCTGAGCCAAATCATAATCGGCACGCCAGCTAATGCGATCGGCTCACGGCGTCGAGCAACTGGCACACGTGATTGCCAGTACCGCGGCACTTGGCCAGACGCATGCATGCGGCCCCTCATGCCATAACCTGTCTGCCCCCCCACCCCACCCCACCCCGCCACCACGCCCCACTTGAACGACCCGTCGCTGCGCGCGCGCAATCGCCCGGCGCACTCTAATTAGCTGGGGGGGCGGCGCGCGCCTGGATTCCACGCGTGGCCCGACGCGACGGATGAGCAGTTTGTTCTCGGAACCCTGCTTGGCGTCGACGCACGCGGCGACGCGGCGTCGCGCGAGCAGAGCGCGCGATGCTGCTCCGAAGAGAGCAACAAAAAAGTCTGGAAGCTGACCTCCTGCCGGCTCGTCGGCTTTCGCATTGACCAGGTCGGCCTGCGCGACGGGGGCCAGGGCGCCGATGAACTCGCCCTGGTCGAGCGCCACTGTCCCATCGGCACAGCTGCGCCAGCTGGTGCACTCCGCAATTGGCGGAGTCATCGCAACGTCCCTTAATTTGCCGAAGATGCTCTCGACGCGGCCGATTAGCCGGCCAACGCTCACCTTGCGCCCCGCGATCCCCAGATCGACAACGCGCTTGGACTGCGCGGGCACTAGCTCCAAGCCGCTGGCACCATGGGCGCCGGGCGTCTGGCGCTTGGCCTCGAGCTCCGAGCCCCACCTCGTCGGCTCGGCGCTTCGCTCTGGCGAACGCGCGACCTGGGCGAGAGGCGCGCCCATGCAGCCCGCGCCCAGCCGGATGGCGCGCAGGATAGCTGCCTGCTCGTCAAATAATTTGTAGCCTGGCACCTGCCCGAGGACGCGGCGGCACTGCCAGGCGGCAGGGTGGAGATCACCTGGCGTGGTGCTTCGCCCTGCCCCCGCATCTCGGCGCAGGTCGCGCCCGGCGGGGGCGCCTTCTCGACGCCCGCGGCGACGCGCGCCGAGTCCCGGCGACGCGCCGCCCCCGATGACAGCGCGCGCTGCGCCGCCCGCTTCGCCGCCCCGGCGAACGTCTCCAAGGCCCCGGCACCCGCGTCGCGGAACCCTCTCGGCGCCGTCGGAACATTGGCGCTTGACCCAGATGGTGAACTCCTCGAAGATGGCCGCGACGACTTCCTTGCGCAGCGACACTAGCTCTCCGGCACGGAGGTCGGCGTCACGCTCGACCACCGCGGCCTCGACGGCGGCGTAGACTTCCAGCGCGGCTGTCGCGGAAGCGCCGGCGACGCAGTTCACCGGGCGGTTCCTCGTCGCAGCACGGAAGCGCTTCGCGCGCCCCTGGGCCCGTGCACAAGTCCACGCGTCACCCCCCCACCCCACCCCTCTCGCGCGGCGTAGTCGCCCGCGGAGGCGCCGCGCAGATAGCGGAGACACTGCGCGTGAATGCTCTGCCGCCGGCGCTGCGTCTCCATGCGATGGGGCCACTCGCGCGGCGCGCGGCCATATCTGGACGCTCCTGGACCAGATCCTCTGCCCCCTCGACTTCCTGCCAGGCTGCGGCTGGACGCGGCCCGAGAAGTCGCCGTCGGCCTCTCTGGGAATGACGGACAGGGCAGATGGTGAACCACCCTCGTTGACGCTGGGCGCAAGGCCTCGAGGGCGTCGGGGCATCGCCGAGCCCGCCCAGTCAGCTGCGCGCCCTTCGCGGCCCCCCGGTTGGGCGCCCGAGTTATCCGGGGCAACTCGGGCCCGGGGTAACTCGGGCTTGGGTTCCCGAAAAAGGAGCCCGAGCTAGCCCTGACCCGAGGTACCCCTGATGATTTTGGGGCTCTGGGCGCCCGAGTTATTCGGGGCAACTCGGGCCCGGGGTAAATCGGGTTCGGAATCCCGAAAAACGAACCCGAGTTAGCCCTGACCCGAGTTACCCCTGATGATTCGGGGCTCTCACCCGGCGGCCGAGGGCGCTGGCCCCGAAGCCCGCCGGGCCGGCTCGAGCCACGCCGGCGCCCGCGTCGCAGAAGACGGCGCCGATGAAAGCCCGCGCGCCCTACAGTCTGCAGATCATCTCGGCTCGGCAGCCCTCGACCGCAACCGCGCCTCTAGCGGGGCCCACAGAGACGATCGCACCGGGCCCTGCCCTGCCCGACGCGTCATTTGCGCTCGGAGACTGACGGCGGATCCACTTGGGCGCCAACGTGGAAGCGCCCCTCCTCGGATTCGGCGGCGCCTGTCCGGTGGGCGCGGCTGGCGCGGGATGCCGAATTGCCTCGACCATGCCTTGCAATGCGATCGCTCGGATCCGCCACTGCAGTCGGCCGGGCTGCACTTCTCCGCCAGCAGAAGGGCCCGCACCAGCGTCATAGACGCTGGATGCCTCACCCACTCTGTCTGCATCGAGCGGCGACAGCATGGAGGGCGGCCTGCAAAAGACGACGTTGCGAGGCGCGACTCCGCCAACGCGGGCGAAGCTGTTGCCCGCGAAGATCGCGATGGAGTGCTTGCCGCAGGATGGCACCACGTCTCTCAGAAGCGAGCGCGATGGCACGGAGCTCCGATCTCAACCCGCGCCCCCCCTTTCCATCTCCTCCAAGAAGTACGCTGAGGTCGTGCTGCCTTCGCCGCCGCCCACGACGAAGGCCTCCATCGCGCCGAGCAGCAAGAACGGTCGACGGATGCCAACAGCGTCGAATCGCGCTCGCCCGCGAGATCCCTGCCGTTGCGCCACCGCGAGGCGCAGCAGATCTGGCGCAATGCCATGCGATCCTTGTAGCACAGGACGTCGCACCCGACGCGCTGGTTAAATCGCGTCGAAAAGGCGTAGTGCAGGGGTAGTCGGACGCGCCGGCGGTGGCCGCGCGCGACATGCCTGAGAATTGTTGACCACAGTGGGGGTGAGGTCGAGGATTGCCTGTGGCACGCTGGCTGCTCGTGGGACTCGCTGCGACCCCTCCTTAGCGACGTGCCACCACCGCAGGCGCAGCTTGCGTAGCACTCGCATAGTGCCTCGCGCGATTCGCCACGTAGTGCTCGCAGTGCCTCGGCGACGTCGAAGCGACTCCTGTCGGAGGGAGTCGGGTTGCTGACTGCTGCGTCGGCAGCTCGTCGTGCTGACCGTCTCGGCACTGTCCCTGTCACTGGGTTGGCCCCTAGTTCTGATCTGGAAACACAATCACCAGAACCAGAACTATGCAGTCCAGTCACACGGTCGCCAGAACCGCGACCCTGAGCCCCAGCCCTGGATGATGAGCCGGCTCCTGGCGCGCCTGCAGGCGCACGCAGGGATGTTACATGTTTCCCAGATCCAGCCTCGCACGCCGCTCCCAAGTCGGCATCGCCAGGTAGTTGACCTCGCTGGTGGCTGGACTGGTGTCGTCGGTGCTGGAGGGCACGTGGGCGCGGCAGTATGTGGGGGTCCGCGAATATGTACTTCCTGAGTTCGTTGGGGCGCGCAGGGTGGTCGCGTTCCTTCTCGTCACGGCAGCTGGGGCGTTCCCTGTGTATTGGGGCGCTGTGGGGATACCGGCACGTGGCCAGATCTCTGGAATGCATGGGTGAGTCCGCGCGGACGTTGCGCTTGCACGTCTTGCACGAGTAGTGAGCGCGCTCGGCGGCTATCGCGTTCCTGATGCCGCTTCGACGTCGCATCCGTGAACATGCTGCACGGACGCGGGCGTCCCAGGCGGCGGCGTCGGTCCAGTATGCCCTGGACATGCCGCTCGGCCATCCTCCTTGGCCAAACCTGGGCCCTGGGCGCCGACACTGTTGTGGCTCTCAACCTGCACTTTGGCGCGCCTGCCAATGCACTGGAGGTTTGCGAATTGCTCGAGGATCTCTGGAGCGTTGGGAATGAAGCCCGTGGTTTTCCTCAATATACCCCCGTGATGATCTCGAAGCCCGAATCGGCACTGGTCGAAGATGGCCTTGCTACCAGCACCTCTTGCCAGGGCGGTGCGGCGTACAACCACGAGGGGTCAGGTTGCTCGTTGACGAAGTAGCCGCTGAGCTGCAGCTCCAGTAGTGCCACGTGGCCGCCGAGTCGGCCGTGTGGGGCCGCGCCGTCGTAGGAGCGCAGCCAGGTGCGGCAATTGCGTTTGCAGTTGAACGTGGTCCAACGACCGGAGGACCGGCATGTGGGAGCCAAGATGGCCACTAGGGGCCGCTTTTGTCGGATGTTTCTCTCCACGGCTCTCGGCTGGCTGTCGTCGTTGAGGGCGCAGCCCACGACCAAGTCGAAGTTGGCACCTGCCCTGAGGTGGCTTGGACAGCAAGTCTGCTGATCCGCGCCGCCCCACCAAAGATCGACATGATGTCGGTGCCGTGGTCAATGGGGGTGGGGTTGGTGAGGAGGTGGTGAATGTCGTCAAACTCAGTGGACTGTGGCGTTTGAGCGCTCACCAGATGGCGATCTGTTGCCGGGGCCGACGAGCCCTGAAACTACACGTCGGCAAACCTGAGGTGAGGTCTCGCAGAGATGGAGACCCTCAGGCAGGTGCTGGATATGGTAGCAGGCCGCATGAAACATATCAGCCACAAGTGGCACGCTAAACAGAAGATGGCGCTAAACGAAGAGTCCTTGCTTTGATTCGTTCAAAACTGTTGCATGATAGTTGTAACATTCGGCATGGATTCGAGACTGCTGAGTGAACGATCCATGTACTGATACCCCTTGGCACAGCACGTGTATTAGCCCAGTCCAAACGAGCTCGGATACGCGATCGCACATTCTGTATCATCAATTGTTCGGTGTCTCCAAAGGGTGAGCCCAAGCAGTGCTCGGACCGGAACTGGCCAATCAGACAGCTCTTCCCCACAGGCTAGGATCTGAGGGGGCGTGTTAGAAGACAGGCAGATGGAAGAGCACAGCATGAGCAGATAGCATCAGATAGCATGTCCGCAGCGCTTGCTCCTCAAGCCCAAGCAAACTAGTGTTTCCCTTCTTTCAGGGGGAGGAGGTGGAGGAGGTGGAGGAGGAGGAGGAGGAGGAACACAGGAGCTAGGAGGATTCGGTCTGGTATCGACGGAGAGGGTGGGGGAGGAGGGAGGAGAAGGAGTCGGGCGGAGGAGGAGAGCGATGATGAGTTGAAAGGGGAGCACCAGCATGCGCAGGAGTCAAGGCTCCCGAAGCCACGACAACTCGCACAGAAGAACATGGAGCGCCGCTCCCGTGACCACGATCCCTTGCAACAAAAACTAGATCGGCGGTGGACAACCCTCCCTTTAGTAAACCACCCTTTGGTGAAAACGGCCTAGGACCGAAACCGACGGACCTGGACCCGCAAAAGTGACAGCCGCGACGCCCTCTCGCAAACCGAAAACGGCCAATTCGCGAATCGACGTGTCAAGGTAGGAGGTCTAGCAACCTCCGACTATATGAGTCCGCGTTCCCTATGCCACGATCCCTTCTCGAACATGCGGGTCCGGTCCGCGCTCCGAAATCCTCCAGCCACCCAGCCGTCCGTCCGCCCAGCCAGCAGGCTGGCGAGCCAGCCCTTCGGCCAGCCAACCAACCTGCCACCCGTCCACAGAAGAAGAACAAATGCCATGCAGCAGTGGCCCGACCACGAGAAACCTTCCACAAGAAACCCAACCCTGAGACCCCAGGACGTCCATTGATTTTGGGCGTGAGAACGTCGCGCTTTCCATAGCAAAATCATCGAAACCCAAGAAAACCAAGGCACCCTGGAGGCAAGCAGGGTGATTCTTAGCATGGATCTCCACTGTAAACATAAACAGTTGGCGCTCCGCGCGACTTTCTCGGATCTGTGCTGGACCCCCCTCCCTGGCGCGCGGAGCGCGCCAGGGGCGGCGCCAGAGGCGCCGCCGGGGGAGGCCCAGCGCGGATCCCAGAAATTCGCGCGAAGCGCCAAAAGTTCATGCTTATGGCACGTTTTCTTCTGAGAGTCCATCCAGACAGCAGGCCAGACTGCCGAGTTGCCAGCCTGCCGACCGACCAACCGATCGGCCAATCAACCAACCAACCGAATCGACCCAGACGTGCAGGTAGTCAAGAGGGGGGAGACAAGCGGCAGAGGGCAGAGGGCGACCCCTTCAGGTAGCGTCGAAGCGAGCGTAGGGACGTGACGCCAATCGCCATTGAGCCCATGGCTTAGCATGGTCCGAAGAGGGTTGGCCTTTACGGAACAAGAGAAAAAACGCCGAAAACAATAACTTGTGGCGCCCTGCGCGGAATCTGCGCTGGACCCTCCTCCCTGGCGCGCGGAGTGCGCCAAGGCGGCGCCAGAGGCGCCTCCAGGGGACCCGGGCGGATCCAAGAAATCTGCGCGGAGCGCCAAAAAATATGTTTAGGGCACTTCTTCTTCCACTTCGACAAAACACGTTATCCCAGTGATGGGTTACCAACCAAGTTCTTCATCCTCGAGCACTGCAAACTTGCTGACCTCTCGGGGTGCTGGCGTGTGAACTCTCCGCCCCACCGTCATACCTCATAATTCCTCTCGCCCTCCTCATCGTCATCCTCCTCCGACGATTTTCCTCTCAGTCTGCTCATCCACATCTCCCTCCGGTGACGTCGAAATAGTCGACGACGATGACCACCACCACCACCACGGCGGCGGCGACGGCGCGACGACGACGACGAGGCATCATGGACCTGAAAAGTTCCTGGGCAAAGCGGGCGCTGGCCCTGGGGCCAGGGATTGTCCCTGGGAGGCCGAAAACGGCGAACAGCTCCAGCTACTCCAGGACCCGTTGGTTCACGCTGAAGAAGGCGACGACGACGAGGACTTTCCACAGGACTGGTTTTCCGTCGCCAGCGGCACGATTGTCCTAACGTTACCACGGGGCGCTTCACACCTCGTGGCAAGCATCTGGACGCCTACTGTTTAAAGCTGTGTCCGACAAAAATTGTTTCACCATGGCTAATACATGAATTGACGCTCTGAGTTGTTAACAATCGTTCCTGAGGCCCGGAAAGGGCCCGATAGACCGATAATTATGAGAAAAACTCCAGGACCCCTGTGCTCCAGGACCTACATCTTCATGGAGAAGAAGGCGAGGACTACGACCTAAACCACGACAACAACGACGGGACATCGACGACGACGACGACGACGACAACGACGACGGCGGCGGCGGAGGCGGCGGCGCCGGCGAAAACGACCAGGGCGAGCACGACCACGACCACGGCGACGGCGGCGGAAGCGGCGACAGCGACGACGACGACGAAGGCGGCGGGGAGGGCGACGTCGACGACGACGACGACGGCGACGAAGACCACGACGACGATGACGACGACGACGACGACGATGGCGACGACGACGACGACGACGACGACGACGACGACGACGACGGCGACGACGACGACGACGACGACGACGACGACGACTACGACGACAACGACGACGACGACGACGACCACGACGACGACGACGGCGGCAGAGACGGCGGCGGCGGCGGCGGCGACGACGACGACGCGCGGGGAGGGCGGCCGCCCAGCGGCCTGCGGGTCGAGGCCGTAGTCTGCCATGCCACAGAGCACCTGCAGGTGCCCCTGCGGCTGCATGAAGCCTCCGCCGACGATAATGACTACCTACCAGACCACCCCAACCCAACCCGAAGACCCGAATTTCGGGTTGGGGAGGGTACGGGTTCCATGTGTTTTTTCAATGTTCCCCGACCCCCCCCCCCACTGAAATCGAGGGTAAATCTGAGCCTTCGGGTTGGGTTGGGGTGGTTTGGTGGGTGGTGAGATAACAACGACGACGGCGGCCCGCCTCGGCGGCCCGCAGGCGGCCGCCAGCGGCCCCTCCGCGGCCCGTCAGAATGCCTTCCCCCCTGGGGGGGGTCCAGGGTCAGAATACCATCCCCCCCGCCCGGGGGGGGGGCCGGAGCCCAAATAGGCCCCAGGACAGGCCAAGCGTGCCCCGAGAGGCCCCCAAAACAGCCCAAGAGGGCCCCGAAACGCCGAACACTCGTTCCAAGACTCCCAAGATAGCCTCCAGACGGCCCGAAAGGCCTCCAATACACTTGAATGACCTCCAAGAGCACGCCCAAGGGGGCCCCAGAAGCCAAACTTCATTGATTCCCCTTGGGATTTTGACTGATTTTGACGTTCTCGCCCTTTCAGCTTCCCGAGGCTCCAAATGGTCTCTGAGCTTGGTTCCTGGGGCGGAAGATTCCGGGCAGGCTGCATCCTTGTCGCTATGGCTGGATTCGGGGATTCGTCGCTAGTGTCCGACTTTCTTTCCGCCCGAGTCTGAGGCGGGATGTCAAGTGTCGGCGTTGGCTCCCTAGGGGGCGCGTGCGCCTTCCCTGGCGGCCCGAGGGCGTGGCAAAGGGGGCGCTGTGTCGCTGGCTCCCGCGAGGGCCACAAGGAGCCCTCTTTGGGCCCAGGAACACTTCTTGGGTAGTCGGAGTCTGCGTCTGTGAGGACTACGAGGGTGCTCTGGGAGGGCGCTTGCCGTACGGTGCTTCGTCCGCGGGCCGAGGCCTCCTGGCTAGCGTCGCCAGCTTCCCCGCCCTCCCTCCCTGGTGGGTCTGGTGCGTCGTCTGGTGGGGCCTCGAGGTCTCGGGTGGATCTCTCGAGCGCCCCCGGCCGGCCGCACCGAGTGCGTTGCCCAACCGTCCGTGCTGACGCACTGGACCACCCAAGGAGGGAGGCAGCCCATCATAATCTTCGACGGCCCAAGAGACCCCCAAGATCGCCCCAAGACGGGCCCAAGAGGCTTCCAAGAGGGCCCCAACAAGACCCAAGAGGGCCCCAAGACGGCCCAAGAGGCCCCCAAGACGGTCAAAGGGGCCCCCAAGACGGCTGCAAGAGCGTGCTCAGACGGGGGACCCGAACGGACATTGCGAGCCGTCGGGCCCCGAGAGGCCCCCAAGAGGGCCCCTCAGAGGCCCCACGAGGCCCCCGAAGGCCTCCAAGAGGCCCCCAGAATCCCCAAGAGGCCCACAAGAGGCTCCCGAGAGGCCCCCAGGTGGCGCCCAAGAGGCCCCCCCGAAGGCCCCCGCGAGCGCTCCGAAGAGACCCCAAGAAGCATCCGTGGACTCTGACCCACGTCAGCGTCGTCGTCGTCGTCGTCGTCGTCGTCGTCGTCGCCGCGGCCGCCGCCACCGTCGCCGTCGTCCTCCTTCAGGGTCCGCGGCACCGGCCGTGAGGCCTTCGCAATTTGGAGCGGCTGGTGACATCGGCGCTGGTTTCCTCACGAATGTACACACTGGATGTTCATGGCTCTCGGTCTCATGTCCGCCGATGCCACTGCCGCCGTCGCCACCTGAGCTGCTGCTGCTGCTTCCAATGATGCTGCCAGTGCTGATACCACCACCACCACCACTTCCTCCACCTCCACTGCCGCCGACGCAGGTTGGCTCCGCCTCCCATCACTCCGAGCGCCGCGAAAAGCTCGCCCGAGTCTTCATGCGTAGCCATGCCGGGGATGATGGTGTGGTAGCAAAACCTTGGACAGGGAAAAAGAAAAGTCCGCCGACTATGTCGGCGTGTGTGGGGTGTCTGTCTGGTCCCGTCGACAGGGAGCCTTCTTTCGTCCCCTCCTTCCCATCCTCCTCTCCCGTCGGGGGAGAGAGAGAGAGAGAGAGAAAGAGAAGGCACCCTTCCTCGTTCGGGGAACGGGTTCGCAGCTTGAGAGACTTCCATCCACGTCCTCATAACGTCGAAGGGAAGCCCCATTCCCTTTGTCCATTCCCCAGCGGGGGGGGTCCCGCAGGGGGGGGGGTCAAATCACGCATCGCCTCCGGGGGTCCTCCGCTCCCACGCCGGTCCTTCTCTGGCGCAGTGGTCCTCCTCGGGTCCTCCTCCCCAGGCGAGGAGGAGTCCCAACGGGGGGGAGGGGAGTCAGATACGCATCCGTCCCTGGGGGTCCTCCTCCCCCTCTCCTCCCCTGTCCCAACCAGTCCTCCTCTGGTCCTCCTCCCCAGGGGGGGGTCCCAGGGGGGAGTCCTTTTCCTCCTCCTTTTCATCCTCCTCCTCCTCCTCCTCCTGGTCCTCCTCCTCCTCTCCGCCTCCTCATCCTCCTCCTCTTCCTTCTCCTCCTCATCCCCGTCCGGGTCGTCGTCGATGTCTTTCAGGATCGGCGGCACTGGCTGTTGTGTTGTTGCTAGCGGCGCGCTCCCCTTACCATTCGGTGATGGCCCCCACTTTCTCCTCCTCCTTTTCCTTCTTCTCCTTCTCCTCCCCCTCCTCCTCCTCCTGCTCCTCTCCTCCTCATTATCCTCCTCTTCCTCGTCATCATCATGACCATGAGCATCATAATCATTATTATCATCATCATCAACATAATCATAAGCATCATCAGCATCATCATTAGTATCATCATCATCATCACCACCACCACCACAATCACCACCACCACCATCATCATCATCACCACCACCACCACCACCACCATCATCATCATCATCATCATCATCATCATCAATACTATTTTCATTATTATTATTATTATTATTATTAGTAGTAGTAGTAGTAGTGGTAGTAGTGGTAGTAGTAGTAGTAGTAGTAGTAGTAGTAGTAGTAATGGTAGTAGTAGTAGTAGTAGTAGTAGTAGTAGTAGTAGTAGTAGTAGTAGTAGTAGTAGTAGTAGTAGTAGTAGTAGTAATAGTAGTAGTAGTAGTATTTATTAGTATTACTATTATCAGCACCATCATCATAACTCTGAGAGGCAATTAAGAACCCCCCCCCCCTCCCTCTCCGGCGAAAGTATAAGGCTCCAGTACCCTGGAAGCGTTACCCTGGCACCTCGCAACCTGCTTTGAACGAGAGGAGCCTGCCCGCCGAAACAAGCGCCTCGCCTGAGACATCCTCAGAAACTGCTCTGAACGCAGACAAGTCTGCTGTGGGAGAGTCCTATGGGGGAGTCCTACAGGGGAGTCCTATGGGGGAGTCCTATTGAGGGAGTCAGGAGGGGTAGCACGAGCAAGGAGGGGAATAGGAATAGCTAGGAAGCCTACAGATTCCCATTGGGATACCGCCCGAACCAAGGCGCGGGAATGATTGATGTTCCTTTCTTTTGCGCGGTGCTAAAGATATCGTTCCGCGAAAACCACCCCCAAGAAATGTCTAATTACGGTGCGGTCCTAACGATAACCCCAGGGGGTCTTAGTTGCTTACTGAGGTTAAGCATCATAATCATCAGCAGTATCACCATCATCATCAGCAGCATCATCATCATCATCAGCAGCATCATCATCCTCAACATCATCATCATTATCATCATCATTAGCATCGTCATCATCAGTATCATCATCGTCATCATCGGCATTATCATCCTCATCCTCATCCTGATCATCGTCATCATTTTCATCATCCCCCTAATCATTCTCATCCTCATCCTCTGCCAATCCTCTCCCTTATAAACTCCTCCCTGTGGCACCACCAGGCGTGTCTGTAGGCTAAGCCGGACGTTTCGCATGATACGCCCTTTCAAGTTATCTCCCGACGCTGAAACGTTCCAACAGTTGCACGGATGAGCGGCCATTGGTTTTCGAACTGTGGCACTCGCCTCATCGCCGAGCACGTTCTTCTACTTTCTTACATTTCGCTTAGTTTGTTCCGCGGGGCAGTTCTTGACGAGCCCACCGCCAAGTTAAGCAATGCGAGAAGTAGGATTTCGCTGGCGAGCGATTACGATACCAGCCGATGGCCGAATCTCGAAAAGCGCACCGAGGGAACTTAGTGGTCAACCAAAGACACCGTCGCCAGAATAACGATCACTAATCTCCGAATTTCGCATCCAGGGCGTTTTGGGGCGGCTCCGTCGCCAAACATGAGTTTGTGACCTGAAAAAACTTGACAGCTCGCTTTAAATGTTTGAGACAAGAAACAACTTGATAAAGTTCACAACGAGAACAAGGATGGAGCCAAGTTTACGATCATGGGTATCTCGCCCGCGACCTGAGTACTCTACACATGGGCCGGGATGACTAAGTCCGACACCCAAGTGACATTCACAGTAGGATGAAGACCGAGATGAATTCAGTCTTGACGAAGTTGGTTTAAGCGAGGCTAGAAAAGTCCACGAAGGAGTAGACCTCGAAGTGCTGGGACACCGCGAATATGCCGTCCAAGCCTGAGACCTCCTCGTAAATACGACAACGAGCTCAACGGTGGACGGCTCCATTGCAAAATGTGGCTCTCGCCTAAGCGATCGTAGAATGGTATGGCCCGAAATTCCAACAGATGTGCATCAGCTGCCTGGATGCATGGCGGTTACTTTTCAAAGCGGGGCTGTCGCTCGGCACTGCCTTGAATTAAATACTCATTCTGGAACCTTCCCAGAGCCACTCGCTCCACTCGTGCGCCGAAGCTGCGTCGAACGTCCGTCGACTGGAGGCGAGCTTCAGTCGAATCTGAGTCGAACCTGAAACGAACCTGAGTCGAACTTGAGTCGAATGTGACTCGAACTTGAGTCGAACTGGAGTCAACCAGATCCGTTAGGTGGGCCCGAGGAAGGTCCCCAAAACGAGCATCTAACTTGAGGCGTAAAACCACACCTTGTCGCACTTCTTATACGGTTATACGGGTCGAAGGTCGGCGGGCGTTTGCCTTCAAAACGGCGTTCCCGCCTGAAGCAAGGGACCCTGAAGCGCCAGTCCTTCAAAGGGGGCGCTTCCCGCAGGGAAACAGACTGCTTGAAGGGCCCTTCGGGGAGGGAACTCGGGACAATAGGCTGCACTGCAGCATCGTCGGTATGAAGCTTGGGTCTGGTCCTCCTCCTCCTCCACCTCCTCCTCCACCTCATCCTCCTCCTACTCCTCCTCCCCCTCCTCCCCCTCCCCATCATCATCCTGCTCTTCCTCCTCCGTTTCCATATAGTTGTTCTTGAACTTTATTTTACACTACCCGTCGTAGTCTGTTAGCCGCCCTTTCCCCCTCCGTCCCCCTCTGCCCCTCTGGGCTCAAGTCGGCACGGGCGAGGCCCGCAGGCGGGCCCCTCTGTGGTCGTGCCTGGGCACGGCCTCCCACCGCGGCGCCATTCCGCGGCCTGCTGCGCTCGCCGGCGCGCTGCTGGCGCTCCTGGGCCTCTCGGGCGACCTCCAGGAGGAGGCCCTGGCCGTGGGGAGCAGGCTCAGCCAGGACCAGGTCCTGGATTTCCTCGGCCTCCGCTTCGAGAGCGAGGGCGAGGACGACGACGAGGAGAACGTCGGGGAGGGCTCGGCCTCGATCGAGGAGGTCGACCTCGTCGACGCGGCGGAGGAGACGAAGATCGTTGGGAGCAGCCCACTCGTGATGGGGGGCTGGGCGCAGTGGAACAGGATCTACTACCTGCCAAAGGGACAGAGTGCAGGGGTGGTCATGCTGTTGGTCGAGCGGGTCGGCAAAGCCAGCGACCAGACGTGGACGTGCGTGGACCCGGCGCTCAGGGTTCAGATCATATGCTTGAAGGACAAGCAGTCGGTGCACAGCAAGCCGCCACGGGGCATCAGCCAGTGGACGGCCTTCCCAGGGCTGAATGACAAGACGCGAGACATGGTGCTCGCGGCCTCATCGAGGCTGATCGCGCGGAAGGAGCTGGACGCCGAGAATGTTAAGGTCGCCAAGGCCGCCGAGAAGAAGAAGAGCTTCTGGAAGCTGGGCGGAAAGAAGAAGGGCTCGAAGAAGACGGGCCTGGTGAACTGGGTGTGGGCCATGGGGTCGAACCTGGTCTGCTACGGCTGGCTTCACCGCTCCTGGGGTGGGGTCGCGGGTGGGGCTTTCGCCGCCTGGCGTATCTGGAGGTATTTCCACCTGGGGCCCCTCTTCCACAGGGTGTTCGAGGCGGCGGCGGCGGCCAAGGAGACGGCGGAGGAGGTGTCCGACTACTGGGGGCTCCTGCTGGAGGCCTGGGAGTCGGGGGAGTTGGAGGCCATGCTGATGGCGGGCGGGGGCGTGCTCTTCGGGGTTCTCCTGCTGAACTACGTCTTCCGCCAGTGGCAGGGCCTCTCGGACTCCGACTCCGAGTCCGACGTGTCCGACGGAGAGCTGATCATGGGCACGGCAGTGCCCGACTCTGACGACGAGCCCGACGCAAAAGGCCTCTATGCGGAGCTGCAGCGTGGGCAGGAAGAACTACGAGCTGGGCTGGCGGCGATCACGGAGGCGCTGAAGAAGGACAAGGGGGAGCCGCCGAGCAAGGCCTCTGGAGGTCACGGCTGGAGCACTGACGAGGCTGCGCCGACGAGTGCGCAGTTGGACCAGTTCATAGCCAAGCTGAACGAGCACGAGGAGTTGGTGAAGAGCGACTCGGACCGTGGCACGAGGGGTAGTGGGCGCGAGGCTGGGAAGTCCGCCTCAGACTCGGACTGGGAGCGGCTGCCCTCATCACCAGGCTCTGGGTCAGTCACGGACACGATCGCCCAGCTGGAGATGGAGAGCAAGAATCCCAGGGACGCCCTCTTGCAGACCTTGAAGAGCTACGAGCACGTCCCCAACATGCGTGTGGGGGGTATCAAGACGCGGGTC